GGCCATCTGGCCAGAGACAAGCAACCCAGGCGGCCACATGGGTTTTAAATTAAAGCTTTGCTAAGGTCCCACCTGGCTCCCTGACACATGCAGCGTGAAATACACAGGCCAAGCAATGAAGCACTTTGACAGCATCTGCAAATGCTTCTCCACCCCGGGCAGCGCCGCCCGCCCAGCAGCCAGCGCCGCCCGCCCAGCAGCCGGCGGTCTGTGCGCGCTCGGCCTGGGGCTGGCCCAGCAGACCAGGCACGGGGGTGACGCGCTGCTCCCCGGACGCCGAAGCTGCCAGCTGAGTTCTGCGCATTCAGAACTGGCCTCGGCTGCTCGCGCACAGGCCTGACGCCGAGCTTGGGGAAGCCCAGGGAGGTTGAAGGCACCGGACTGGGAAACAGGGGTTTCCTCCCCAGCTGTGTTACCCTGGGGGAACAATGGGGATAAACCTGCTGCTGAGACCCTGGGGGCAGCCCCGCGCCTGGCGGGGGCCCCCCTCCCCAGGCCCAGCTGCGCAGGGGGGAGACAGGGCACAAAACCGGCTCCTGAGTTCAGCCTGGGGCCCCCCATGCAGGGCCGTTCCCAGATGAACTCCAGCCAGGGGCTCCGGCAGCTCGGAGGCACCTGCCGTTCCGCAGGCCCCCGCCAGAGCTCTGGGCTGCGGGAGGAGACAGACCGGCGCTGCCGAGATTCTCTGGCGTGCTCTGAACGAGCAGGGGGAACCTGCCCCAGCCCCTGTGCCAGTATTGCCAGGGGCGCGTCACCGGCTGGGACAGGGCACGAGAACCACCCCCCGTCCCCTCCCCAGGCTGACGCTGCACAAGGCTCCGAGTGTCAAGTGCCTGAGCCTCAAATTCAGCCCAACTACCCGCGTGCGAGCAACGCTGGAGCCCTATCTGGGGATGGAGGGTTAAGGGGACGTTGCAGCGTATGAGCCCTGCGGACCCCCTCGCTGAGTAGCCCCAGATCCTGCAGCAAACAGGGGGCCCAGCCCTGCAGCTCAGAAACGCGGGCGCCTTTCCAGGGGGGCAGCCGAGCAGCGGCAAGTCTTTCTCCCAAATCGCAGCCAGGCTGCACGGCTGGCTCCGGCACTTGGGACGAGGCTCTCGCCCCCCCTGAGAAATTCAGAGACTTCGGCGAGGAGCAGCTGGAGAGGACCGGGACGCAGATCGGCGCCGGCTCTGACACAGGTAAAGGCAGCAGAAATACTCAAGAGATTAAAAAGTTAGAGCTGGCAGGTATGCCCACCCCCGACGCGGCAATCCCGGGGCCTGACTGCACAGCAGGGAGAGCCGAGTACCCGACACCCCTGGCCCCCCATCCCTCAGATCAGACCTAATCGGCTATTTCCCAAACCACGCGGCGTCTTGGGCGTCAGCCGTTCCCCAGTGCGTCCGTTGCCTGCAAGGGAACCGCACCGTGGGGAACCAACCCCCGGAATTAACGGCGAACTGGCTGACCGAAGTGAAAATCTTGGGGAAAAAGACCCCGCATGCCAGGGACGCAGCTTGGCTCAGGCACCAGAGCAGGCGAGAATATCCCATCACAACGGGTCTGACTGAAAAACTGGGTGGGCCAGGTTCTCTGTCCGAGCAGCTGCAGCAAGCCCCGGCGTCTGGGTCCCCCGCCACGCGCCCTGAGGGCGCCTCACCCGCACAACGGGGCTGGAACCTGCACCCCAGGCAGAACGGCGGCCGGCTCGCTGCGATTTACGGCCCAGGCGTAGCTCAGAGACACGCTGGGCTCTGGGACGCCAGGAGGAGCAGAAGGCAGCTGCTCCCCCCGCCCCTCAAAGCTGCAGATGGTTTTGGAGCGTTTGAGTCTGACCCGCGGGGTCCAGGGGCCGGCAGCCTAGTGACAATGGGGAAAGCGCTCAGCTCCCGCGACTCGGAACGGTCTCCGGCGCCCGATGCACTCTGCCCAGCCACTGGCGCTGGGTGGGACGGGGTGGCGCTCCCCAGCCCTCGGCAGCGTCAGTGACAGGGCAGGGTGCGTCCTGCTGGGGAAACGGGGCCTTTGGCGCGCGCTGTGGGAAAAGCTTAGCCCAAAGTCTGGGGGCTGCGCTGGCGAGCGAGAGGCTCACAGGAGTTGCGGAAGGAGCCAAGCGCTGCAGCGTTTAGTAGCCGCCCAGTTGTTCTGTATAAAATCCTGCCGCACGCCGGGCGTGAACTGACCGCAGCGCCGAGCGCGCCGACGTCTGGCTTTAAGGCAGCTTTGAAGAAAAAATGTTATTGCTTTTACAACTGTGCGCGTTGTACACAGGTACCGCCGGGGGCTGGGGCCGGCTTTCCCCGGCGAGAACCCCGCCCGTCCTGACACGTCACTTCCCGTGGAAAGAGCCGGCTTCTTCCTTAGTGCTATTGTGCTGTGGGAGCCCTGCTGAGTCTCCAGGTGCCCAGCAGACTCCCCGTCCCTCCCGCCGAGATCCACGCGGCTCTGGTGGTGCCCCTTGCCCAGCAGGTGCGAGGAAGGGCTGTCAAGATGTAACAGGCAGAAGAGAAAACAGGAACCATGAACCCAACCCTGGGGCTGGCGAGCCAGCGTCCCTCGTGCACCGGAGCCGAGCTAACGGAGCAATGAAGTGAACAGCAGCCCGCCGGGCTCTCGGCCTGCTCGGAGGGTTACCGTGCGTCCCAGCGGAGCGGCCGAGTCACGTCACGGCCACTCAGCGGCGCTCTCCGGAACCAACAGAAATCTCTGGACAGAACGGGCAAATGCAAGTCAGTTTCGATTCCACAGGATTCCTCTCCACGAACCTCTCTCCGGGGCTGGGTTGTAGGTTATGGCCCGCAGGGCGCGAGGGGCCCTCGGCGCTGGAGGAAGGCTGCGAGAGGGGCTCTCTCGTGGGGTGGGGTGTCTTTAAAAGCTGTAAGCACTTCGAGGAGTTTAAAATAAAAGCAACCCCATGGGACTGAACCAGGCAGGGCTCGGAGCTGCTCAGAGCCACGGAGCAAGAGCACTTCCTTCCTTTCCAGGCGGCTCCCCGCCCGGCCGTGCGATGCCAAACTGGCGGAGTTTCAAACAGCTGGGGCTGCCCCTGCACCGCCGGGGGGCCGGGCTAGTGTGTGACCAGATTGCTGGAGAGAAATCCCAGGAACAAAACCAACCAGGTCTCCTGTGCTCGGAGCCCAAGTCTCTGCCGGCCGCCGCCTATTCTCGGATGCTGGCGGAGTAGGAGAACTGGGGGAAGTGCGTCCGCTGATCGGCCTCCAGGGAGTCCATGCTGTCATCTGCAGCCAGAGAGAGAAGCGGCGTATGGGGGGGGGGGGGGGGGGGTGTCTCCAAGGACCACAGGGAGTTGGAAGCACAGCGCCCAGGTGGCCTTCAACAGGACTCATGCTCCTAAACCCCTTGGGTGCTTCCGCAAATGGCCACCAGAGCGCCTGTGCAACCCGAGATGCCCAGGAGTTGGGCTACGTGGTGTTATCTCCACCTCCTTCCCACCAAGAGAAAGCCGGGGGCCCGCTCCCAGCTCGGGTCCCAGTCTACACTGGGGACCACCTTTCCCTTCTCCCTCCACGAGCGGTTTTCGCCGCGTGTCTCAGCAATACAAGGCCCCGGACCTGGGCCGGTCCTTGTGAGTGCTCCCAGAGTATGTGTGATCAAACCCTGCGTCTTGGGGTCTTTCAGCCGACATCCCTCCAGAGACATCGGCCACTCAGCGTACAGCCCCGCGCACACCCTGGCCCCGCTGACGTCCTCGCTACACAATGCGGTGCCATGGCAGTGGTTAGAGCTCAGGAATCCTGGCTCCCGGCCCTGTGCTTAGGCCACCAGACCAGCCAGGCTTGCCCTGTTTCTGTGCTGGGCGGGGCGGGGCTCCCTCCATTTCAGCCCCTCCCCAGAGCCCGGCGCGGCCCAGCCCGGCCATACTCACATCGGTCAGGAGGCGTGATGGTGATCGACTGCGCCGTGAACTCGTCGTCAAAATATCGCGTGTCGATCTCAGATGTCACTTGGGGCTTAAATGGTGGGACGAGCTGCAGAGCAAGAGAGGCTGCGATCGGTAACCGGGAACGCCCACTGGCTCCCCCCGTCCCCAGCACGACAGCTCGGCTGGGTCTGCGCCTGCCATGAACCACCCCAGGGCCCGGCTCCACCTCGGCTCCCACGGCTGCTGAGAGCAGCGTCAGCCACCGCTACACCAAGCGACGCCGCTCGCCACCTGAAACCAGCCCGGGGACCCAGGGGCTGCGCCGATTTCCACTCACCCCGAGCTAATCCACACCTAGACCGACCCGAGAGAGGTCGCCGAGCAGGGACACCTGCCTGCCATGTGAAGCGAGGTTCCCACGAGAAGCAGGGCTGGCTTTAGACACAGCTCCAACCCCTCCTCCCCCGGGTCTGCAAACCAATCACCGCAGCTCTGAACCAAGGCAGGAGAAGACGTGCAACTGCCCGGCCCGGGCCCTCACCTCGCACCGACGCTGGGGTGTATCGTAAGCTGTTGGCCAGGTCTGTGTTTACGTCCCCAGGACCTTGGTATTCCTGTGTGAACGGCTCTATTCTACCGCCCACACCGGGCGGAAACCAGCCCCCTAGCATGGCCAGGAGTCCCGCAGCCTCTCCCAACCCTGCCTGGGTCACTTTTTCGGAAGGATGATTCTGATGGGACAGTGTCGCTTTACAGCACCGGGGTCTCGCAATTCACACCAAAGCTGCTGCGCTGTTTGCAGACAGAGGTTCCTCGTGGAGGTTTTCAATGCAGGGAAGCGAGTGCCAGGATCTCCCGTCCTGTAATCCCAGCCTGGCCCATCCCTCCCAGCACGTGGGACCCCGAGCTCTGCTCCGTGCTGACGGGCGGCTTTTGCAACCTCGCATGGACACTCGGTGGCTGTTCCGAGAACTCTTCAGATAAGTGGTTCAGGGGCTGAGAAAAAACCCAGCCTGTCCCCAGCAAAGCGGGTTCCCCCTCTTACCTTCTTCTGAACCACGTCTTGCCAGTTGATGGCCGTGAAGAAGCGGTGCTCCATCACCTCCTTGGCGTCGGTCGGCCCTCCGCCTAGCCTGGGGACACAGAGCATCTTACTCCCTGGCCCGCGCTCCAGGGCCTGGGCTACGGGCACTGCTTTCCAGGTGCCATTTGAAATCCGGTCAGTCGGATGGTGCCAAAGGTCAGGGAGCCCCTTGTAAAGCAGCAGGCTCCCGGCCTGTGTCAAGCAGCAACACTGAAACCAGCGCGTCGACCTAGGCTCTCGGCCTGGCCCCGCTGGACCCCCTGGCCAAGCCAGGCCAGAGACCTGCCCAGGGAAGACCCTAGAAGCTTTAAGCCCTGTTCTCCTGGGCAGGAGCCGAGGACACTTCGCCTCTGGTCTGCACCGGCCATGGGGGAATCTCCTGGCCCTGACCGTCTCCCTGGCGACCGACGCACCTGCCAGCGAGAGCTGGCACCATGTGCCCAGCACCCACCCACCTCTGCTTGGGGTCCTTCTTGAGCAGCCCGGCCAGCAGGGCCTTGGCCTCGGGGCTGAGGGTGCGGGGGAAGCGGATCTCCTCCATGAGGATCAGCTCGAAGAGCCGCTCGTGGTCCTGGTTGTAGAAGGGGAGGCGGCCACACATCATCTCGTACATGACGACGCCCAGCCCCCACCAGTCCACAGCCCGCCCATAGTCGTTGTCCTCCAGCACCTGTGCAGGGAAAGCGGGGGGCTCGTGAGGGGCAGAGAGGAGTCCTGGCTCCCAACCCCCACCCACACCCCTCCCCGAGCCAGGACAGAACCCAGGAGTCCTGGCTCCCAACCCCCACCCCCACCCCTCCCCGAGCCAGGACAGAACCCAGGAGTCCTGGCTCCCAACCCCCACCCCCACCCCTCCCCGAGCCGGGACAGAACCCAGGAGTCCTGGCTCCCAACCCCCCTGGCCTGGGTCGGGGCGGTGTTACCGTAATACACTTAATAGTGAGGGATCAATACCTCCGGGGCCAGGTACTCCGGCGTCCCACAAAAGGTTTTCATGGTGGCGCCGTCCGTGATGCCTTCCTTACAAAGCCCGAAGTCCGTGATCTTTATGTGGCCGTCTTTATCCAGCATCAGGTTCTCCAGCTGAAAGGCAGAGAGGGAGCGAGGGGGTTAGAGCTCCGGTTAATTCCGCTCCCTCGTCCATACGGAGCCGAGACGGTGAGCTCGATGGGGCGTGGGGGCTAGTCCGCCACCACCATCGTTAGGCCTGGGTAACGATCAACAGCAAGTCAATCCTCGTCAACCCCCGAGAGATCACTGCGCCGGACGCGGGCGGTCTGGCTGCTTTCGGGAGCAGCCCGGATTCCCAGCTGGAAGCTGCCTCTCCTCGCGGGTACAGCGGCCGGGAGGAAGGCGAGCCAAGGGTTGGGTAAAAGAGGAAGTTTTTAACTACCCGCTCGCCAGGCCGTACTGGGGGCTGGGAGGGAGCCCTCGGAAGCAGGGACAGGGGCGAAGGGCCCTTGCCACCTGTTCTCCGGACGCCCTCCTGCAGTGACGAAATCCAGCCAGGGCGCGGCGCTGCTGAGACACTCAAGGGCCTGGTTTCCAGCGGCTCTGAGCACCGACTCCAGCTGCAGCCCCAGTGCCCAGGAAGACGGCTGTTTGTCCTGACATTACCTTGATGTCCCTGTAGACCACGTCCCTGGAGTGCAGGTACTCCAGCGCCGACACAATCTCAGCACCATAGAAACGGGCCCGCTCCTCCGTGAACACGCGCTCTCTCGAAAGGTGGAAAAACAGCTGGAGGGAAGGAAAACCGAGTGGGGGCCGTTAGTGCGAAGGCAGCCAACCGAGGGCCGATGGCTCTGGCAGGTCTAGGCCGGCGGGTGTGTCCGACGCGCATTGCCCTGGGCACTCAGAACGCTGACAGCCCCCGAGGCGGGAGAACGTACCCGAGCCAGGCAGTTCAGAAAGGGTCCCTCGAACACGCTTGGGTTTCCCTTGCCAGGCCCAGCACTAACAACGCTGGAGGAACTCGCAGCAGCCGGCAGCGGCACTGCGCAGAACTAGGAGAGGCTGGTCAGTGCTGCTGGCAGGACACAGCGTTAGCCACACCTGCCGTGGGTAACAATCCCCCCCATAGCTGGGAGAATGACGTTCCTACGGCCAGATGCCCATCAGCGACGGCTGGGCAGGGAACCCAGGAGTCCTGTCTAGCTGGCCTGTGGGGGCAGATTTTCCTGTGTCACAGCTCCTTACGGCAGGGCTAACACACCCCTGCCAGGGGCCGGGGCCGGCAAGAGCTGCTGTAAGACCTGAGAGCCCCCGAGTGAGACGATGGACGAATTGAAATTCTGCCCTGCCGCAGAGGGGGGTGGGGGGGTCAGTCACAGACATGGGCCATCTTCCTGCTGGCTCCTCTGCACCCCCCCACGGTCTTGGCCAGCCCCCCTCAGCAGTGCGGGGGGCAGAACGGCTCCCGAATCTCTCCCCTCCCCCAGCCCGTGCGGCTGTTTGAGGTGCCAGGCTGCACACACAGGACCCACCTCTCCGCCGTTGGCGTACTCCATCACGAAGCACAGCCGGTCGTTGGTCTGAAAGGCGTATTTCAGCGCCTGCAACAGAGGGAGTGGTTGAGAAGAGGCAGCCGCCGGCTGCATGGCTCGGCGTTCCCCGGGACTGTGGTGCTGTTACTCCAGCTCCCACGCCAGGGAACGGCGGAGCTAGACTCCCGGCTCCCAGGCCGAGCGGCACGCCCAGCGCAGGGCCTCTCAGCTGCCAGCGCCAGCCTGGGGCCAACGGCAGGAGCTGGGCACCGGCACATTCATTTCCCAGTGGCCACTGCGCAGCCCTGGCTCGTGCTCCCTCCCAGGTGGCTGCCCGGGAGCCGACAAGCGAGAGATGAACGCTCTGCGCCCGGACACCCAGCTCGGGGCAGCCCCTCCCAGGGGACACTGCTCAAGGAGGTGACGCTGTGAGTCTGAAGGATCTTTCAGGTTTAGGCTGGCATGTAAACAGGCCACTTCCCTGGCTGGCACGCCCGCCTCGCCCGCCCAGAGACCCCGCGGGGACTTCCCCAGCTGGCACGCCCGCCCCGCCCGCCCAGAGCCCCCGTGGGGACTTGCCCAGCTGGCACGCCCACCCCACCCGCCCCAGAGCCCCCGCAGGGACTTCCCCGGCTGGCACGCCCACCCCACCCGCCCGGAGCCCCCGCGGGGGGATTTACCGTCAGAAAGGGATGCCTGCTGTTCTGCAGCACTCTGCTCTCTGTAACCGTGTGTGCCACCTCGTCCTGCAGGGAGACAGACCCCGCAGAGATCAGTCGCGCACTCAAAGCCGGCCGTGCCACCCAGCCCCAGAGCCGCAGCCGTCGAGCTGGCAGGTGCGGAGCGGAATCCAGCCCGGGGGGCGGGGGGCGGCGTTCGCACCCGAGGGGAACAGCAGCCAAGGCACAACGCTCGCAGCTGGCCAGCAAAGCACGGGAGAACACGCTCGCGTCCACTCAACTTTAAGGGAAGCGGGTGCTTAAGTGTGTTGCTGACTCAGCGCCCACAGTCCCCCCCCCCCATTTATTGCTCTAGCCCTGAGGAACCCCAGCCAGGTAGCAGCCCCCATGGCGCCAGGTACTGTACAAACACCACAGACACAGCCCCTGCCCCAAGCAGCTTACAGCCGAAGGCGGATGGTGACGGGTGAACACATTAATTTCTAAGTCTTTGAAGCACAGCTGAGAATTTCTGCCCCTGCTCCCAGAGGCAAACACACACAGAGACAGGAGAGAGACGGACAGCGAGCGTAACCAGCAGAGGATGACGTTACCTAACGACGTACAGCACACGCCTGTGGGTTTGGAATACGCCTTGTTTCGTCTCACTTGGCATCTGCCTTCAGCGAGCTGCCCCCAAGCCCCTCTGCGCTGACCCTGCCCAGAACGTACCTTTGCGATGATGACTTCTTTCCGCAGGATCTTCATGGCGTAATAGCGCCCAGTGGCCTTTTCCCGCACCAGGATCACTTTGCCGAAGGTGCCTTTCCCCAAGAGTTTCAGGTAGTCAAAATCGTTCATGGTCTAGGAAGAAAGGCAGACGGGGGGAGGGTTAATGCACTGCCATACGGGACGGCTGGAAGGTGGGGAAACGCCAACCAATGAGCCAATTGAAAACCGAGGGGTTCTCCCGCTGTGGTAGCTAGTCCCAGCCCGGGTAGAACAGCACACGGCCAGGACACCCAGCTACGCCCCACTCCAGCCCTCCGGCACCAAGGGGGGCAGTTCCACCCTTGCCGTTTAAACCACTGTCTCTGTGCCAACCGGCCAAACTCAACCAACACGGAGCAGCCTCTTGTTCCAGATAAATATTGATGGTAGCGGCTAGGGGAGGGGCTTGCAGAAATCACGGGGCCAAGTCAATTGTCCCCGCCCCCCCGATGAAGACCCCCTGGAGCTGACAGAAGGTGACTGGCGAAAGGGAACCGTGTTTCAGACAAGTCATTAGCAGGATTCACACGTCAGTGCGGCGGGGGGAAAGAAAGCACAGCGCGTTTCCGTAGCAGGAGACGGGGTTTCCTGAGCGATCAGCACCCGTGAGGGACCTAGGTGGAGTGACCCCCCATCTCAGCGAGTGCGCAGGAGAACCTGGCCGTGGGACGGTAGCAGCTTGGAGCGAGGAACGGACCAGCGTCACGACTGCGCCGGCGCAGGGGGTTCTGACCTTCCCCAGCCGGTGACCTCACAGTACAGCCGAAACAAGGTTTGGGGTCCCCCCGGCTGAGATCACGCTAGGCGCCTTACTGCTTTCGCCCGGGGCTTGGTCACGGCCACTTCCATCTCCTCAGCCCCGGTGGTGTCGGTGGGGGAGCCGCACTTGTAATCCATCGTGTCTTCTTCGGGCTCCTGGTTCTTTAAGCTGTTGGCGACGGTCTGAATGGCGTGCATCCACTCCTCCCTGCAGTGAACACGGGGGTCAGCGCGTGCCGCAGCCTGGCCCGGCACCAGCGCTGCCGCTTACAGAGGGAGGAGACCATGGCAGGGGTGGAGGGATGGACCGGTGCTTCAGCACCTCTGAGGAGGCTTCTGTGCTTCCTTCTCCCACAGGAGCGACCCCGGGTCCCAGCACTGCCCTGACCGTTTCAGCCCGGGCCGCCACACCCCCGGGCTCGCACTCTGCCAGCGCAACCCATTATCCCCACTTCGGAGCGGCCCTTTGCTTTGCAATTAGTGCAACCACAGAACTTCCCACTTGTTCTGGTTGCACGAGGCCCCCAGCGTGAGGATGTGCTGGGCTCAGAGCAAGCAGCTCTTCTCACTGCCGCCCAGAGACCCCATGGTCCCGAGGGGAAGGCTGAGGGGAACTCGAGCGGTGAACGCAATCACCACAATCCCACCCCCGAGCAGCAGACCCCGTCAGAGCCCGGCTTCGCTCCCAAGGCTCAGCAGGGAGCCGGGAAGCCACACACCAGCTACGGATGCCCACTCTGCCAGCAGCTAGCGGTGCCCGAGGGTTCCTGGGGGGATCAGTGGGGTTCCCCCGACAACATGTCCGTCGGCGGGGAGGGTCTGTCAGTGCGCAGCGATTCTCCACGACCCAGCGCCTGGTGGCCTCCTTCATTCTGGTGCAAGGAGAGCGTCACACCTCTGCTCTGCGGCCGATGGCCAGGCAGAACCAGCCCCACGTCTGTAAGGCCAAATCCCACGTACCCCGCTGTGGCTACGCTTCCTTACGGGGGAGGGGACCTGCTGTCCCAGCGTGCAATGCTCCAAGGCAGGCCACACCTGCGCCCCTCAGGCTCCTCGCTACTTCCTGTCACGGCTCTCACAGCCTGGGCACCTCCACGCCAGCAGCTGGGCAGCGGGTGAGCGTGGGGCCACCCCTGCCACTGCACGCGAGCGGCAGCTCACACACCTGTCCTGGTGGCAGCTGGCACTGCCTGACCTCGCCAGAGCTCCCAGGGCAGCAGAGGCTGCGGGGCAAGGAGCTCACTGCCAGACCCCTCTAGTACGTAGCGTGTGGCACGGGCACCAGCGTGGCCCGTTCCGCAGCATGGAGCTGGGACTCGCGGGAGAAATTCCAGCCTGGGGCACAGAGAGCCAGACAGGTTCCATCTGCCTCCCCTCTAAGAGCCAGGCACACCCCAGCTGGAGACGTAGGTTCCTAGCTTGGCCTTCCGACGCAGGATCACACGAACACTCCTGTCCTGCCACAGAAATACTTCACTTCCCCGTTCCCACCCTCTGTTCAGCTCGCAGTGCCGCACCCGGCATGCGGGGAGCCCCTGCATGTAGCACCTGGAACACCGGGGAGCCCCCAATCTTGGTCTAGGGTGATGGACACACCCTTCTCCCTCTGCCCCCGTCTCCCCCTTGATATGGGGAGAACATCTGCCTCTCAGCAGGGCTGGGAGGGCTGGCTGGCCAGTGGCTGCCAAGGAATCTGAAGACCAAGAGCTAAGTTCCCAGAGAGCCCGGCCCCGCCCCGCCGCCCGCCAGGCCCTGTGCTGCGTGATGGGCGTGGAGGAGGCGGGCGCGCCGTGACGCAGACAGGAGCGTACGGAGCTGCACCTACCGTTCGTCGGGAGAGTCCACGTGAAAGGTTCTTTCGATGACAGTCGTCCACTGCAAGCACCGAATGACGAACGTGTTCGGCCGGGGCCGCTCTGTCTTCATCAGCTGGCATTCTGGGGGCAGAGGGGGGGGAGCGCAGGCTACCACTGATTTCTGAGACCAGGTCCCCTTTGCTAACCCGCAACCTCCTGCACTGGCTCCCTGCTCATCGCAGGATCCCGTTAAAATAATGACCCTGTGTCTTTAAATGCCTCCCATCAGCCTCACCTACAGCACGGGGCCTTTCAAAGATTCATAGATTCATAGATTCTAGGGCTGGAAGGGACCTCGAGAGGTCATCGAGTCCAGTCCCCTGCCCGCATGGCAGGACCAAATACTGTCTAGACCATCCCTGATAGACATTTATCTAACCCACTCTTAAATATCTCCAGAGATGGAGATTCCACAACCTCCCTAGGCAATTTATTCCAGTGTTTAACCACCCTGACAGTTAGGAACTTTTTCCTAATGTCCAACCTAGACCTCCCTTGCTGCAGTTTAAGCCCATTGCTTCTTGTTCTATCCTCAGAGGCTAAGGTGAACAAGTTTTCTCCCTCCTTGGCAGCCGGCAGCCCGTCCACACCAGGGCTCTCAATGGGGCCAGCACTACTGGGACTAAACCTGTACTAGTCCCGCATGCAAACTCTGCCGAGCTGGTTGCTAGTCTCCCACTCCGCGACAGGCCAGGCAGCGCTCGGGCGGGGGGTGTCACGTCAGAGCATCGCAGCTGCTGGACGAGCCGTTAGCGGGGCACTCATGCTCTAAACAGCACCATGGCACAAAGACCCTGGAGACTGACCTCTCCTCTCAGCTTCAGAGGGGACGTGGGCTCTGTGAGAAGGGGGCCGCCTGTTTTCCCAAGGGGCCGTGCATCTGCTGAGGAGAGACACGGCTGTGTCCCTTGGGTGTCCCTGCACCTCCGGGTTTAACCAGCAGACGTACCTGCGACCGAGAAGTTGTTCAGAGGTGGCAAGCTGTGATCGGATGTCTCGGGCCGCTCCTTGTAGCCAATGAAAGAGCCGTCGCTTTTCAGAAGGAAGTACCTGGGTCTCCATGTTTTAATGTACTCCCCTGGAACAAAACCGTATTGCGCCTGGCGTTACTTCATGCCTCGCTCCATCCCTTCGCTACAGAGCCCGCGTCAAACCAGCTCCCACCCCGACGTCGGCACCGCAGAACGGGAGCGCCGAGCCGCTGCCCTGCTCTCGGCAAGGAGCCAGCCAAGGGACAAACAACCGAATTTCATCAGAGACACGGGATTCCCGCTGACCGACTCACAGCGCTCTCAGCTCCCCACAGCCACTTCGGGGCTTTAGCGGCGAGAGGCTGACACACAGCCAAGGACACCGAGACCACGCCGCCGGGCTGCCCAAGAGTGGGAGAGGTTCCACGCCAGGCCAACACTTGAGACAGATCCTTAGTGATGAAATGGGGGGGCCTCTAAGGTATTTCAGGGGAAAAGCAGGAGTTTGGAGGTTCCTTTGGGGCCCCTGTGAATCCCAGTAAGGCAGGTAACTAGCCTTATTTCCCAGGGAAGCCCACCCAAACCCAGGCAGGCGAAGTGACTTGCCCAAGGACACAGAGGGAGAGTGGCAAAGCTGGGAACAGACCCAGGAGTCCTGGCTCCCAGGTCCCTGCCCTGACGTTAGCTGAAGTGGCCGGCTCTGCGGCTGTTTTAAGGGACGTGGTGTCACTCGGTTAGCACCTCTCCCCCCACTGCAGCGTAAGCCGGCAGCACCAAAATCAGCCGGATTGCAGCCCCAGCCCCTGGTCCTGGAACACCATGCCAAGGACAGAAACAGCCCTGACTCCTGACCCCCTGCTCTCTCCCCGGCAGAGAGGAGATGCCGGGGAGGCATTGGCGTAAAGGGAGCTGCAGGGCTGCCAGCGCCTACTCCCGAAAGCGCTCGGCAACCGAGGAAAGCACAGGCCCACCTTCAGCATTGCTATAAATAACCCCCGCGCAGCTGCTGCAAGGCCCCTGCACTTCCAATAGCCCACGAACGCTAAAAATAAAAGCGAGCGTTGGCATGGGCCACCCAGAGGGGACGCCGGCCTGGAGGACGTGCCCTATGCTCCTGCGGGTAGTCCTGGCAGCTCCAGGAGCGAAGCCAGGCCAGCCACACCCGGGTTGAAAGCACAACTGTTGCTAGCACCACTTCTCCAGTCCCTGTTCCCGGGACGTTTACTGCTGCAAGGGGGGCTAGCAAGCCCTGCTCCGGCCACACGCTGAGGTCTCAGAAATCATCTTTTGTCGGCGCTGGCCAGGGAAACGGGCAAACAGCCTCCGCCTGCGCACTGGCAGCACAGAGCTAACCGTGCTGCGGGCAGGGCCCAGGACAGAGCTCTCCCGCGCGGGCTGCAGTTGGAGCGAGCCGAGGGCCAGCTCCGAAGCCCACTGAAGCCAATGGAAAGACTCCTGCTCACTTCGGCTCAGGCCCTAGCTGCAGAAAATGCAGCACAGCCTGTGCCCAGCTCGGGGGAGGGCTCCCTTCCACCCCCCGCTCCGGGCGCTGCAGGGAAAGGGGAGGCTGGGCAGCTGGGTAACTGAAAACCGGAGCCTTCCTTTTCCCCGGCAGCTGCAAGGGGCAATTCCCCGCGGCACCCCGAAGCCGGAGGGACGCCGCTAAGCCAGGCACAGCCCTCAAACAGCCTCCCCTTCTCCGCCAGGGAACACAGAGCCTCTGCCCTGAGCCGCCTTCCTGCAGCAGGAGGCTGCACCTCCCACTCAGGGCCACCCCGCTCCCTTGGCACAGCACGGCGGGGAATCGCCCCGGAAGGGGATTTCCCGCCCGAGGCGTGACGGAGCCGCCAGACGGGCCAGCAGAGCAGGGCCCACAGGTCCGATGAGAGGAGGCAGGACACAGTCGCGGCTACAGCTTGGCTTTCAGAGCGCTGGCAGTCCCGTAGGGGCTGTGCACGGACAGCAAGGGGAACAATCTACCTGCTGTTGGAGTCAGCGGGTCAGAGGAGAGCACCACGCGCCCTGGGCAAGCAGGCTCAGGAGTAAAGCTTATCCGCAGGGCTCAGGAAAGGCCTGCTGCCGCACCAACAGCTAGGGCCTGGGTTCACACACAAGTTGCAGCAGTTCAAAAACCGGATTAGTTCAGCCAGTGCAAACACCTGTGTGGACACACTTACATCGGGTTAAAACAGGCTCCATGGGTTTAACTCGCCTAGAAATTCACAGTGCAAACTGAAGCAGCACAGGCCAGTTTAAACCCTATCAGCGTGTCCACACACACAGCGGCACCGGTTAAAATCCCACCTTTAGTTAGGCTGGTGCGATTGTGTGCCCCCAACACGCCCCACCTTCGGGTGGGAGCCTTACCTCTCTTGTGCAGCCAGCCCTCTTTGACGACTGACACGTCGTTCATGTTGGTGCCCCAGCTCCCGGCCACCTCTGCAGGGCAGGACAAGGAACCAGGGTAGCGCTGCCAGCTGCAGGACGCGCTGCGGGCGCAGTGAGCGTCTGTGGGAGAAAAGAAGCCGTTTGCCATCGCAGAATTCACTGGACGTCCAGACAGAGCTGAGGACGGAGCTCCCACGAATGCCGCCACCAAAGATCCAGTGTCGCTCGCCACGGGGTCCGAATCCGCCCCCTCCGCCCGGAGGACTGAGCACACAGCAGCGCTTGCCCCCGTGAGCTTACAAACCGAGCCAAGGCAGACAGAGTGGTGATCAGACGTGCCCTAGCCTCTGCCCCCCCGTGCCCAGTGCCCTCTGCACGCGCTGCACGGGGCGAAGCACACGGGGACGCCTCGGAGACGCAGCTCTCCCGCTGAAGACAGAAAGGCAGCATCAGTAGGAAACCGCCCCCACACAGGGTATCAGTAAAAACTCCCCCGCTACATGGATGGGGAATCAGAGCCCTGCTTGCAAACACCCCCGAGCTGCAGGGAGAGCCCGGCTACCTGCTCAGGCAGCCAGCGAGGTGTTTACCTCGGTTTCCAGTGACCCTTATCTCCCCGCAGCACCATGTGCTACCATCACTGATGATAAAAAGCCTTGGAGATAAGAGGCACTAATCGCACATGCTCAGATCAAAGACACTGGCGGGGAAAACACACGCGCTGCACAGGCAAGAGCCCTTACAAAACAAACAGCTGGAGAAAAATTAATCCGAGTCACCTGACAGGCCTGGGGGGGGGCAGGGCCAGGGATTGTCTTGGAAGCCCGGCCCACGTGGCTGGCACGGAGCCAGGATCGCTGCCCGGGAACCTACGATGCTCTGAGAAGCGTCTGTTGTCCAGGCTGGTCAGGGAAAACTCCTGCTAGCAACCGGGCTGAAGCACCCTGGGTCTGGCTCCAGGTCCAGAGGGAGGGAGTTTGGGGCTCCCCCCAGCACAGGGCAGGACACATTTGCCTGCGGCGCCCCTGTGCCGAGCCCTCTCGAGCGCAGCCCGGCTCGAGGAACAGAGCACTAGTGACGGCGCACGGGTACCGGGGGCTCCCGGGCCGCTCAGCACTTCTGCTGGATCCATTTTCATTCCAGCAAGCCCGGGAGCCCTGCAGGAGCGCGGCTATCGGGCTCCGCTGGGGCGCCGCGCGGCGAGGCAGGGAAATCAGGCTGCTCCCCTCGAACCCGGGCAAGGGCACTTTCCTAGGCCAGGCTGGAGCCCAGCATGCTGGAGAGCTCCGAGACCCGCAGGAAGGTACAAACCTACAGGCCCAAGGCTGGGATTCCATGGCCCAGCAACAGCACCACCGGCTTCTGGCTCTCCGGTCTCTTTGGGCCTGGTCCTTCCTCCCCATGCCATGCCTCGGGCCTGCCTCATGCTGGCCCACCCGTTAACGCCGCACGACCCGGGGCTGGTGGAGCAGAGGGATCCTCTCCCCCCACATCAGCGATCGCTCGTCCCGGACTAGCTACTTCGGTTCAGCGACGGCACTGTGCGAGCCACCGGAGCCGGGAAGCTCCCACGCTGTGCTCCAGAGACCTAGCTACAGCCAAGCTAGCAGCCACGACCAACAGCAGGATTGAAGTAGGGAAACTAAGCGAGATGGTAATCGGAACGACAGGACCACAATGAACAAAGACAAGGGTAGAAAGAAAACGTCATGTCACTAGAAAGGCAGCTGGTCCCAGCTTTGCAGGGTGTACAGATACCCCATCTAGCCCGGGCTATTTCCACCTCGGACGCCTTAGCATAACCGCGCTTTCCCGGAACCAACTCGGGAACGGCAAATCAGAGAACACCCCGCTAATTCTCAGCACCTGCTGTGCTGCTCACTTTCTCTGGGACACTTCCTTTCCTTACCACTCACCTTGGCCTCATGCGGGACTCACTCTTCGCTCTACTTCCCCCCCGTTCCTGCAGCAGAGGGAACGGGCGAAATGTCACGCCGCCGGCTGTCTGCCTCGGCTCTGGGGCCGCCTGAACAGGAGCAAGTGGGGCTGGGACAGTTCCCCAGAAAGGTCCAGCCCGTTCAGCGGAAGAGCTCAGATCGCCTGTCAAGAATTCCTTGGCGTCGGAGGCCTACCCCCTCGCCAGCTCTCCTGCGCCCGCCAGCGCGCACCCCTTTGGGGAACTAGGTTCTCCATCACGAACACGCTTCGCCCACTCTGGGCTGAGGAAGGGAGACTTTCCTTACTTGTCCAGTTTTCCTCGGAGATTGTCTGACCAGCCCAGATGCTTGGCCAGCGCTCCTCTCCGCTCGCATCTCCGGAGGGCTCGGAGAACTAGGCCCAAACATCTGGACTAGTCCAGGATCTCCAAGAGAAAAGCTGGTTGGCCACTGGAGTAACAGAGGTTGGAGACCAGGGGACCAAAGCTCGCCCCATAAGACCAAAATGGCGAATGCCGAAGAGGCGATGTGTAATATTGCCAGCCTGAGGGCATACACAGAGCGGGGGCTGCGTCGGTTTGGAAATACCCCCACAGGCGCTTTAGCAATATTTAGCCCTTGGCAATCACAGGGGCTTTTCAAACAGATCTGCCAAACTCCTGAGTGAGGGAAACCGGCAAAGAGAGCGGGAGACGTGCCAGCCGGCGCATTTGGACTCCAGCGCTCCGAGCTTCCAGTTCGATGCTCAGATTGTGCCCCCAGTTTTACAGAGAATTCTGATCCACACCCCAGCTGACAGTGAGTGGGCCGGGCGCGGGCCGCATGCAGCCACAGAACGGCCAAACTTCTCTCCCCAAGCTCCACGTCTGAGCTAAATAAACCCCGCACAAATAAGGTGATTTAATCCACATGTGTTTTCATTGGCAAAACTGACCAGAAGCAAGAGGGGGAGAAAGACGCCATCACTCTGATCCCGGCAGACAAGTTTATACAGAACTACTCTTGCAATTCTAGCTAACAAACAAAGCCGGGGCTGCAACTGGATTTCACTCATTTACGTAACAGTGCTAACGGTTCAGCAAAACACCGGCACTAGGACCATCTTCCCGTCGGGACCTGGGGCACAGAGGGCCCTGCCTCGCGTAAGACAGGACAGAGAAGCCACCGCAGTGCTTACCCCAGCTGCTCCCGCACAGCGCGAGTCCGAGGCTGCGAACGCACAGCCGGGTCTTCCTCCCGCGCAAGGCAAACGGTATTTGCAATAGGCTAGAACGCAGGTGACCGGACGGCGGCTGGAGAGACAGAGCCAAGTGATTGGGGGAGAGCAAACCAAGGGGTAAGACCCAGGGAACCTGGCGGCACATGGAGCTGCTCGATTTCCAAAAGGAACCATCCTCTTGCCCAAACGGCCAGGCTTCACAGGGTCCTGTTGGCGCCAGAACGTAACCGTCCCGGCCGTCTGCCGAGAAACGCCCCAGGAACAATGTGTGGGTGAAACAGGCCAGACCAACAGCCCGGTGGGGGACTGCGCCCTCGGGAGGTGCAGACACCTGAGACTTGGCAGAAGAACTGACTTCCTGGAAGTGCCCATTTGCGACTCGTTTTCCCCACCAAGGAAGATCACCACCAGGGACTTCTTTGGAGGCTAGGCAGAGGGGCAGCTCGTCCAGCCCACAGCCCGGCGGGGCTCGCTTTGATTTAATAAGAACCCCTAGCTTTTCATCCAGAGAGCTCAAAGCACTTTACAAAGGAGGAAACTAGCATCATCCCTGTTCATCGAGGGGAAACTGAGGGCCAGGGACAGGAAGTGGCTCACCCACAGTGACCCAGCGGGCCAGTGGCAGAGCTAGGAACAGAATCCAGGTCTGCTGGGTCCCAGTCCAGTGCGCCAAGCAGTCCTCTTAAATGCCACTAGCAGCACCGGTCAGACGAACGGCAAACGTGGCCCCTCCCCTACCAATCTCCAAGCGCAGGAGGTAACATTACCCCCGTCCTACAGAGCCGCCGGCCAAAGCAACGTACCGCCGAGAAGAGACTGGAGCCCGGGACCGAGCAAGCCGTGGCTAGCTAGAGACGAGACGCAGTCCCAGCGTCAGTGCTAATCTTAGCAGATTAACAATGAGATTATCAAGGGCTGGAATTTCTGACACCGCCTTAGGGTCCCCCAGGTCCTCGGCCCGGCCATGAAGCCGGCAAACTGCCGGCGGGTGCAGGGACGCCTGCGAAGAGAGAGAAGCCATCTGGGGAACGCCAACAACTCTGAGGAGGTGGGAGCTATTCTGGGCCAGCAGGTGGTCAGCACTGTGGGACACAGAGCAACGGCGAACATCACATGCCTTTAAGGGTGACGAGCTCACCTGTATTGCTGACTGCCGCATGAGACAGACCAGCCCTTTGCAGATAAACCACGGCTGGCTCTGACCCACAGGGAGAAAGCTACGCGCCTGTCTTCGGTGTAAGGCAGTGGGGGCTGGGAATGCCTGCCACGCACTTGGCCCCCAACAGATGACACAGGGTAACGTTTTCAGACGAGTTTAAGTCACTTATGAGCCAAAGCCCCACTGACCTTCCCGCTGGCTCCTCACTCATTGAGATGCTTCTGAAACGTCTCCCCTAAAGTCTCTTCCCTGAGCAGTTTGCAATCTAAGAGCGGTTCGGATGGACCCGTCACCTGCCCTGCCCTCACCAGCTCCGCAAGCAGTGGCATCAAAGCCCGGGGTTCCCCACACGCTCCTCGGGTACAGAACAAGCCAATGGAAAGCGTCCCGAGAGCCGAGCTGATCAGTTTAACCTTGGGGAACATTACGCCCCTTTGCACAAGTGACGTGCGGGGCGTTTGAAACTCACCCTGGGATTCTGAGACTTTACTGGGCAGCCGCGTGCAGTGAGAGAGAGCAAAGGGACGTCCCTGCTCACGCACGCCAGCCATAGCCTGCGAGGATGGCAGCGAGACTGACCCTGCGACCTTTAGAAATAAGCGAGGAGAAGCCAGGCAGCACGCGCCTTGGAGCCTCAGGGGATGCGATCACTTCACAGTGGCCATTCGAGCACCGCTTCTGACTACGATCTCAGCGCTGGCCGGGCTGGTGGGCTCCCGCAGGAGAGCCTGTAGGTCACCAGTTGGAAACCAAGTGAGCTCAGCAGCGGTCATGCTGGCACTGCCCTCCAATGGCAGGCTCCCGGGCTCCCCTCGGAGGGCCAGACTTGCCAGTCACCTCCTGGAGAGGGGAAGGACTAAACGGGCTACAGAAACTGAGCTCCTCCTGTCCTTCACTCTCACACGTCTCTGACATCGCACTTTTCTTCAGCAGATCTCGGAGCGCTTCGGGGACCCCATCCCGGTGCCCGTGTAAGCTTCTCCCTGCTCCTACGAGGGCTGGACCCTGAAGATTTTGGGCCCCAGGAGGGTCAATCCAGCACCTCTGCTCACTTTCACTAGATCAGCTTCCCCCCGCCCCCCCAGTTCCTTGCCGGGGAACAGCCAGAGCCCACAGGTGGTTACAATGCCACCAGAGATGTCTGGAGCCGTCCCAGGCTATAAGGACTGGAGCACAAGCACTGCCCTCCCTAACCGATCCCTGAGAAAGCCAGGCTGGAGTTCGCCACAACCAGCCAGTTCGGGGCCTGCGTTCTGGGTGATCGTA